CCCGACTTTGTTAACTGTCTTTACCGGGTTGGTCACTCCCTCAGACATCACCGGTACCATGTATAACGATCCTCTTTTCAAGCCTCGAGCAATAACCAAATTTCCTTTGATCACCTTCCATTTTCCACCACCAAACTTGACGTCTAGTCCCTGTTCATCCAATTGTCTGACTGAGATCAACTTTGTCTTCAGTCTTGGAATCACCCTGACATTTTGTAAGCTCCAAGTAGTTCCAAATGAAGTTTTTAGATCAATATCTCCCATGCCTGTCACTTTAAGGATTTTCCCGTTACCCAACTTTACCTTTCCAAAGTCTCCCTTTTTGAGATTCACCATCGCCTCACCGTTGTGCATGGCGTGAAACGAAGCACCAGAATCCATGACCCAAGAGTCAACATAGCTTTCCATGCTGAGTATCAATGCATCACTATCATCATCAGATGCATTCCCAACAACTGCGCTAATTTCGTTTTTCTTGTTTGGGCATTGACTCTTGACATGCCCAACTTCTTTGCAGACCCAGCACACCACTTTCTTTCCAGCCTTAGACGAGCTCTTCCCACGACTCCCACTGTTTCTGTTATTACCTCTTCCCCTGCTAACACTGAGTAACCCAGAAGTAGATCCTCCACTAGCGTTCCTCCGACGAATGTCTTCACCCAAAACACCATCCCGTATCCGATCAAACTTCAAGTTTCCTGTTCCAACAGTTTCAGTAACCGTTGTCACAAATCCCGACCAACTATCAGGCAAGGAAGATAACAGAATCACAGCCTGAGTGTCATCATCGAACTTCATGCCTACTGATGACAACCTCGACAAGATTGAATTGACCTCATTAATGTGATCAGCAACTGGGCTGCCCTCGTTCATTCTCATCATGAACAATTCCCTCATCAAGAACACTCTATTACCGGCCGACGGTTTCTCATACATATTTGACAGAGCTGTTAACATACCACGAACAGTTGTTTCCTTCATGATATTAAACGCCACACTCCTCGTCAAAGCTAGTGTAATTTTACCTCTTGCCTTTTTGTCCTTTGAGTCCCAAATTGCTTCAGCAGCCTTATCCATTCCATCCGGTCTCTCTTCTAGTACCATGTCCAAATCGCACTCACCAAGCAACGCCTCTATTTGCATTTTCCACCATGCAAAATCAGTACCGTTGAACTTCTCGATTCGAACCCTCCCATCCTCGGCCATTGCAGAACGAGAGAAAAAAAACCAGAGAAAAAACCAAGGAATAACGGCCCGAAACTAAGCAACCTCCAAAAGAAAACAAACCCTAAATCAAAGAACCCGAACCAACGAGTACCAGGTCCAAAACCAGAAACCCTAATTGCCAAGTTCACCCAAAACCGACTGAACAGCCCCTGACCAGATCCAAACCAGCCTCTAATCAGATCCGAACCAGCCCCTGATCAGATCCGAACCATCCCCTTCAACAGCCTTCTTCCTGTGATTGATCCTATGTAACCGTGTGTTTAACCGAACCAAGGCTCCGATACCACTTGTTAGGAATCAGAGATCAGAGGCGGTCAAGCGGAAGCGAACAAACACACACACACAAATAGCAGAAAATAAGAACACGAGATTTAACGTGGTTCGGTCAGTAACCTACTCCACGGGTTGCAACTAGGGTTTATCTTTTATTAGGTGCTCACAGATTATAGTTACATGATTGGGTATTTATAAGATATGAATTAGGGTTAACAATTTGCTAAACAAGAAACAACTAATGGGCCCTTTAATTAATAAGAAAAACCGGCCCCCCATATTTCTTCCCTTTAACCGACCGGGCTTAAAGCCCAAAGCTCTAAAGCCTTCACTGAATAACCCAACAGAAGGTGGACATTCATGAAGGGATGGTGTACTTTAAAAAGCATAAAATCTTTATTCTACTGGAAGGGCAGGAGCAAGTCAGTAAGTTACTATGTGAGGCACTGTTTAACTTGTCAAGCTTCAAAAATGAAAGTGTAGCTTCTCCAGGAGTGTTGCAACCATTTCCTATTTCAGATGGAGTTTGGTTGAACACTTCCATGAATTTTATAACTGGTTTACCTAAGTCTATGGGGAAGGAAGTTATCTTGGTGGTTGTGGATAGATTGACCAAGTATGCTCACTTCATTTCCCTTAAACATCCCTTTACAGTTTTGGAAGTAGCTCAAGCCTATTTGCACAGAAGTATAGTGAGTGATAGAGATGCTATCTTCCTCAGTAAGTTTTGGCAAGGATTATATTCCTTGCAAGGCACTGAAATTTGCTTGTTATCAGCCTATCATCCTCAAACAGATGGCCAAACAGAGGTAGTCAACAGATGCTTAGACCTTAGAAGTGTACCTAAGGTGCATGTGTGGGGAACAACCTTCAGATCGGTGTATGTGGCTTCCTAAGGCTGAATGGTGGCATAACACTCACTACCACAATGCAACCAAAGTCACTCCCTATGAGGTTGTTTATGGCCAATCTCCTCCATTATATTTGACTTATCTACCTGAAGATTTTTAAGTGGAGGGAGTAGACGGGAGCATGCAAAAGAAGCAACACATTATAGATCAATTAAGGTCTCAGTTGGTACAAGCACAGAATAGGATGAAGGTCCAAGCTGACAAACACATATCTAAAGGAGCTTCAATATTGGAGATAGGGTTTGGTTAAAACTACAACCTTATAGATATCAAACTGTCAAAAAAGAAGCAACAACAAACTCTCTCAGAAGTACTTTGGCCCATTTCAAAATGTTGCAGCCGTTGGAAAGGTTGCCTATAAACTGAAGCTGCAAGCACATTCATGTATGCATGATGTCTTCCATGTATCTCAACTAAATGTATACAAGGGGACGGGATACTACCTGCTGCAATTCACATCCCAGAATGGTTCAAAGGGAAGCCTATTAGTACTCATCTCTATGGTTGTAAAATGAACAACTAATTTTGATTCGATTCGTGATTCGTATTCGAAAAATGAAGACGAATAAGAATATAAATTTTTATTAGAATTCGAAAGAAAACGAATATGAATGTATATGTATTTGATTCGATATGTTAACGAATATATTCAAATTTAAATATAAATATTTATACCTAATATATCTCCTTCATAAAGAATGCAGAGCATAATATACAAAGTACTCTGTAGTTGATAGTACACATTTAGCTTTTGGGTGCCATATAGAAAAAGTACTTGAATAATTTTAAATACATGTGTAACCCGGCATGGATATGAAATTAATGTTACGTATTTTTGCAATATGGATTTAATATTACGTATTTTTACAGCCCGGTATGGATTATTTAACAACTTTGTTTTTGCTACTCTACTTTCGAGTAGGGGAAAGGTTTGCATATGCACACCCTTCCGAGACCCTACTCTCGTGGTATCTAACTGGGTTGTTGTGGACATCATGGCTTGTAAGGCGCCAAGGCAAGGCGATGCGCCAATGTATCTTCATATCGCCTAGGCGACTAGGCGCACGCGACATACACACACACACACACATATATGTGTGTGTGTGTGTGGGTGTGTGTGTGTATTTATATAAGGGCATGAGAATGCTTACGATCCATTAGATTTAAGATCTAAGGGTTATTAAACATCAAAATATCTGAAAAATTGAAAAAACTGCGGTCGTAATTTGGTAAATAAAATAAACTTTTCAAAAATGCACTAGTACAAGTATAAAATGCATCACGACAGTCTAAAAATGCACCATTCTCATATTCTCACACTAAGGATATTCTCACTTGAACCAACCCCTATGTATGTATGTATGTATGTATGTATGTATGTATGTATGTATGTATGTATGTATGTATGTATGTATGTATGTATGTATGTATGTATGTATGTATGTATGTATGTATGTATGTATGTATGTATGTATGTATGTATGTATGTATGTATGTATGTATGTATGTAT